GTGTTTGATCCCTATACCTGCGGAGCTGCGTTCTCTCGAGCGGAGACCTCTCCTTACAGTTCCTCCATAAGAATAACATATATCTTTTCGCTTCTTTGTATTTAGGGGGGGCGTGGGGGGGCTGCGCCTCTTAAATAAAATATTTTTTCTCCCCGACCCCCTCTGGCTTTTTTTTATTCTCTTTTCTCATGGGGATCATGTAGTTTTCCCTTTTAAAGTTAAAAATAATATATCCCCGCGCCGGCGATCATATAAAAACGGGTTTTTTGCGCCCGGGGGTCATACCTCCTGTGGGGGGGGGGGGGGGGGGGGGGTAATGGACACCGGGACCGGATGAAAGGAGCCGGCGGCACAACTGACTCAGCTCGTTCCACCTGGGTGACGAGGCTGATTGCGAGCAGACACACCAGACGTGAGCGGGCGAACGAGCTAAAACGCCGACATCGACGCCTCCGTCCGGGTCACCGGCTGCAGCGTTTAACCGCCACACTTCATCTCGTCCCGATTCGCCACCACAAAGATCTGGCAGGGCGGTTTCTACGCAGCGTTTTGTTGGTGGTGAACGGCTGACGATCAAACCGCCACCTCAGCCGCTCAAGACGTCAATGGGGGTCCGCCGTCGACCCCTTTATCACCTAAACAGAGGGAAGGCAAACGCTGAAACGTGCAGATTATTGACCTCCTGTTGCACAGGACCGATAGTTGATCCTTGAACATATCGTGGTCACACTGTGTGTTCTAACAATTAGAATCCTTGTTATGTTTCCTTTCATAAGTCACACGTCTCCCTTGCCAGATTTCTCTGTCCTGTTCCACAGAAGCTCCTGCACGTCTCCGGGAGGCCGTTTCCTGTTTGTAGAAGGAGAGACTTCCTGCGAGCGGCAGCCCGCCGGACACGGTGTTCTGCATTCTGCACAATCACAGGAACCCGGGGGGGGGGGTAACGGACGCACGAGGCCGGCGATGTGCGGCACGCTGACAGGTCGCTCGCTCGGTGCTCAGGGGTCGACCCGCCTCGTGGGTGCGAAGGAGCGAGCAGCCGCCTGTTTTCTGCATCACGCGCAGGTTTGCTGCTGCTGCGCGGCAGCGAGGACGTTATGAGTCTTCCAGCTGAGCCTCCAGAGCCCAAAGGCTTCCTCCTCTGATGAAGAGCTGCCAAAACGTTGTTTAGGATCACGTCGTCGCTTTAAGATTGATATGAAACGCAGCAAAACGAAAAAATGTCTGTAGTCTGGTGGCGTCCGCTACTCGGGTGCACCTGCTGTTCACCCATTTACACACACACACACGCGGTGACAACCACAAAATACACACGGGACGCCACTGCAGCGGACCACCAGTGATGGAGACATCCTGTGGCGCGTCTCGCTCCCCTTTGTCCACGCGAGGACGGGCTGAGGACACCGCTCCCTTTAGATGTCCGGGTACTGAGGGGACGCTGTGTGCGGCACGAGTCAACCAACGCTTGTCTTTCCATCAGAGGGGGGGATTGTTGTCCCGAACGGGCCGCCGTGCGTTGCCAGCCGAGATGCTGCTGGAGGCAGAAACACACTGAAAGGCATTCATCTGCTGCATGCGTCTTCAGCTTGGAGGTCCGGTTGTAACCGAGCGGCTCTGGTTCCACCACCATGTATCTCCATGTATCCCCACGTATCTCCACGTATCCCCACGTATCCCCACGTATCTCCATGTATCTCCACGTATCCCCACGTATCCCCACGTATCCCCACGTATCTCCACGTATCTCCACGTATCCCCACGTATCCCCACGTATCTCCACGTATCCCCATGTATCTCCATGTATCCCCATGTATCCCCATGCATCTCCATGCATCTCCATGCATCTCCATGCATCTCCATGTATCCCCATGTATCTCCACGTATCCCCATGTATCCCCACGTATCTCCACGTATCCCCATGTATCTCCATGTATCCCCACGTATCCCCACGTATCTCCACGTATCCCGACGTATCTCCACGTATTCCCACGTATCTCCATGTATCCCCATGTATCTCCATGTATCCCACCTGGATGTCCTCTAGTGATCACGTTACTGGACAGTGAGGAAACATCTGGTCCAGACAGCAGCTTGCACACACAACAGACAAATGACCGGCTGCCCCCATTAATCATTCACTCACCCGTTCACTCATTAAGCGAGTGTCGTCACAGCGTCTCTGCAGCACAACGCACCGACGTAATTAACGTGATTTCTCGTTAGCGGACTTTGATACTTGCCTCCCAACGGTTTGATTGGCGAGCTGTTTCATCCGGTTAAACTGCTTCTTCATCTTCGCTTCGAAGGCTCCGGTTTGTCCTCAAGTGTCCCCGGTCCCCTGTGAGTGTCCCCGGTCCCCTGTGAGTGTCCCGAGCGGTCTCTAGTGACAGGGCAAACCAGCGGGAGCCATTGAGCCCCAAAGCCAATTAAAAGTAGCGAGTAGCCTCGCTAGCTCCGGTGCTAGCCTCTTCCCCAAGTGGAAAACCCAGAGAAAGGTTCCCGCCGGGGGGGTCGGCATGTTCCGAGAAGCGCCTCGTTTTTAGGTACGACCCCGTGCGCGAGACGTCCCGCCGTCAGTTAACGAGCCGGTTAAACCTCGGGCAACTTTCTCCCCTCCAGCAGCGGCTCCTCGCGGCTCCTCCGCTGCCGCGACCCGTTAGCTGACGCGCTGGAGCTAACGGGCTAAAGCTAACGAGCTAACGCTGCCGAGCCCCGATGATCCGTCCGCCGCTTTCTCCCGGAGAGGAGAGCCGGGAGCGGGGGAGGAGTGAACAGCGGCCGCGGCTCACCTCCGTGCCTGCCAGCGCGCGCGCGCACACACGCACACAAACACGCACACACACACACAAACACGCACGCACACACAGGGGGAGGAGGAGGCAGCATCATCCGGGCAGCACCTCCCCCCCGGACACCGACAGGAGAGAAAGACAATAATAATGACTGAGTGCCACTGTGAAAAATAACTAACTTTACAGCACTGTGGCTTTCGTCATTTTCTTTTTTCTACTCTTCAGATTTATTGTGCGTTAACTTATCAAATGTGTTTAAACCCTCCAATAGGTGAGAGGGCAGAAGCAGGGCAACAGTGCGAAACATCAAATGAGCTCGTTGAATTGGGTGGCATCGCTAGAATTCCTTTAAAATATATCATGCAAGTGGGAGCTGAACATCAGCTCCATCACCAAGAAGGCTCAGCAGAGGTTGTTCTTCCTGAGGCAGCTGAAGAAATTCAACCTGCCAAAGACGATGATGGTCCACTTCTACACGGCCATCATGGAGTCCATCCTCTGCTCCTCCATCACCGTCTGGTACGCTGCAGCCACAGCCAAGGACAAGGGCAGGCTGCAGCGCGTCATCCGCTCTGCAGAGAGGCTGATCGGCTGCAATCTGCCGTCCCTGCAGGACTTGTTCGCTTCCAGGTCTCTGAAGCGAGCTAAAAAGATGGTGGCCGACCCCTCTCACCCCGGACAAAACTGTTTGTGCCCCTTCCATCTGGCAGGAGGCTGAGGTCCATCAGGACTAAGACCTCACGCCACACCAACAGTTTCTTCCCATCGGCAGTCGGGCTCATCAACAGAGCCGGTCCCCCACTGACTGACTATAACACTCCACCGGTCACTCCCCCTCACACTGCACACGCCACTTTAACTGTTATTCATCACTTTGTTGTCACTCGTCACTTTGTCACTTGTCTGTTACTTGTTCGTTAGTGCACTTTATGCTTAATATTTTTCTTTTTAACTTTTTAATATTTAAATTTTTTAACTTTATTCCCTTGTTTTATGCCAACCCATAGCCTTATTCTACTAACCCATTGCATTAGCATTTCATTCTACTTTATTTTATTACTTGTGCACTGTTGTCTTGTCTGTCTACTGTCTCGCACTAACCGCCAAGACAAATTCCTTGTATGTTTGGCATATTTCGGCAAATAAATGTTTCCTGATCCTTCCTGATCCTGATCCTAAAGAACAGGACTTTTTAAGAGAAGGGAAGCGCCTGATCTACAGTCCAGTGTGTGTTGTAGTCTCCAGTGCCAGTTAATTAGCCTGTTTCAATCCAAATGTACATTTCAAACCCACATCCTTTCTGTTGTAAGGCTTTACCGGCCCTAATGGCCTGCAAGTACCTCGATTGAGGCTTCACTCGGAGGCCAAATGCACTATGCTTCTGCCAGATCGAAGATATAGATCCTTGTTCTTTGGGGTTGCCAACTTCCCATCAGGGATAGAAATATCAATATTTCTATGGGAAGTTGAACACCGCAGCTACACGTTTTGTGTACGTGCAAAACTGCCTGCAGCACATTTCACCTCGTATACAGTAACATTCCGCATATGGCCTTTCAGAGGCCCCTGAAAGCAGCCTGCCGCAGGCTTTGCAGCTGTATGGTTCTTCATTATCTGAGACGTCCTAATGAGGTTGGCTTTTTGTCGGCAGGGTTTCCACACACAGTTTGTGAGGAGATAAGTGGCTTTGAATGCTATGAGTGGTCTTTGTAAAACTCTCTCCTGGCTGGCTCTGGTGCTTCTTACTCAGGCACATCTTTCACTGCTTTTATGTTCTGTCCATTCAGCATATTCTAATTTGTATAAATTCTGTACGTGGATTGGAATACCTTCTACCACAGTGATAAAGAGCAGTAAACTACCCTGGTTTATATCTGAAAAACACAATCAGACACATTGTGATCCCGATGACGTTTCTTCAAGAGACACTCCACGAACCGGCTGTCTGTTTAATGACATTGTCATTACATCACATGATATTGTCCTGCCCAGTGCAATAACACTCTACAATAAATCATCCCAGGCTAAATAATGACAATAATAACCCTGTACTGCTGTTATGTTGCTGCTCTTTCTTTTGGAAGGTTATTCTTTTGTTTCAGTTTATTTAATTTAATTTAATTTAATATTTCTCTTGTTATATTGTATATAATGTGTATCTTTTTATTCTATTTTCTTCCCTGTACATGCTGCTGTGATACCAAAAGTTCCCTCTTGAGGGATCAATAAAGTATCTATCTATCTATCTATTTAATGACGTTGACAGTTTGTTGCTTTCAGCCATTTCCACCTTACAAGGCTAAACCCACATTGTCTGCGTGGTAACAGATCATTCATCCAGTGGTTAACACCGCCGGCACCGAGAGGAGAAGGTATTCTGGGATTGCGTAGCGGCAGGTTTAATTTATCCACGTGCACAATGACAACTTCTGCGATCATACTTTTAATCTGAAAAATGCCAACCGGAAGTGTTTTCAAGTTAGCCGGAAGTGTTCATACGTTTCTATCAGCGTGTTGTTTATTGCCGTTAGCGGGCAACATATCGGAACCTCGTGAAGTACCGCTCGTTTCCTCCACACAAGCACCCGCGACACCCGACCGGGCGCCCGCCTCCACCGTCCCTCCTCCCCGCGTCGTTAAATATCCCGTCCCGTCACACCGGAGTTAGCCCGTTAGCTCGGTGTCAGCTAGCCGGTATGATGTGGACCTCATAACGCAGCGACGTGACGTCACGATAAGGATCGCCACAGCACCGATGGCGGCTCGGCAGCAATTCACGGACACGGACACCGCCGACGAGGCCGTGAGGGCGACCTGTGACGATGCAACCACATGCAAGCGGTGAGACGGTGTCCGACCTCCATCAATGCTTCCTGCTACAGGTCACCTGCTGGTCACTGACCGTCATGTGACCAGATGGTGCCCAACAACACACACACACACACACACACACACATCAACGTCTTCCAAAACAAGCAACATTCATTTTAATTTAGCCTTGCCAGTTGTCTTGAACTGTCCACATGGTTTGCTTGTCCTCACTGAGACATGACCAGCAGATCTCTGCGTGTAGGTCCCTTGTACGGATGCATTCACGCAGAATATAACGCCTCTTGTCATTGTTCCAGGTTTGCTTCCAGTAAAGGCTACTGGAAGGACCCCTACATCCAATACTTTGTGAGATCAGTCGGGGAGCGGAAGGCCCCCGAAATCAACCGAGGTGAGCGAGTCCTTCCTCCATCCGCCTGTTGGTCATTTGGTTTAAGGATAACATTTGTAAACTGCATTACGAGTGCGTCCTGTGCTCAGAGGAACGACTGTGCAGAACCGACTATCAACACTTGACTTTACGACGGTGTTATCGTCGGCAGTAAATGATCAATATCTTTATGTGTGTAAACTACAGGTGTGTTTTTATTAGCTCACTTTGCTGTCCTGCTATCTCATTTTTACAGGTTACTATGCGCGCGTTCAAGGAGTCAACCATCTCCTGGACGCGTTCATACGGAAAGCAGAGTGTGAATGTCAAGTCATCAACCTGGGGGCCGGACTGGACACCACCTTCTGGAGACTCAAGGTGTGCAACGTCACACCCGACCACATGGGAGCGTTTCTGATGTGGCTTCTGCTCCTGTTTGCATCGCACTGACCTTAACTCTGTGTGTGTGTGTGTGTGTGTGTGTGTGTGTGTGTGTGTGTTAGGATAAAAACCTCATGCCACGGAAGTTCTTTGAAGTTGACTTTCCAACAGTTGTGGCCCGGAAAATACACAATATCAAGTAAGGAAAAAACATGCAATGATTCTATTTATCATAACGGTTCCTTTCAGATCAGAAGATCTGGTTGTTATGGTTGTATATTATATGACTGCATAATCAATCATGAGGAAAATCTAGTTTGATTTCAACCTTCAGATACGTCATTAGAGGGACAAATGCTTGATTGTGGCTTTGCGGCTGCAGTTCGGGTGGAGATCTGTAGAAGGAGACCGAGCAGCTCCTACAAACAGTGGCAGTGTGTTTATGCTGTATGAAATCCATAAATGTATTTAAGTATTTCTTTCATTTTGATTATATGCAGGTCTATTATATGTAAATAATAACCTCCGGTATTCAGATTACGCTGTTTACGTGTGTGTGTGGATGAGAATAGTCAGAAACATCTTGTACTCTGCAGTAAGTCCATGATTAATAAAATGACTACTGTGTAAGGACAATAACTATAAACAATTTTCTCCTGACTAGGACGAAGCCCCCCCTGTCCAAACCTCTCATCGAAACCCACTCAACAGACTCCTTGCTACTCGGTAATATATAATATATAATATATATAATAAGCTTTATTCGTTTCATAACGGCTCCGCTGGATGAAGTCGTGTTGAGGATCTGCTCATTTTGCTCCTTTGGGTTTCTGCCCAGACGCCCAGAGCCTCGACTCGGACCGGTACTGCATCATCGGGGCGGACCTCCGGGACATCTCCAGCCTGGATGACAAACTGAAGAAGTTCCAGCTGAATCCAGAGTGTGTGAAGATGCGAAGATCTTATTGACCCCACATTTTATTTGGATGTCTGATCCGGTGCTGATACCCATCCCAACATTGAGTAATAAGCACTTTGTCAGACTTGCAATATGGAAACTTTGGCTCTTTTTCACCTGTCGCGATGACGTCGCGCTTACAAACAGTGACATTTTATGGAAACCAAATTCTGAGACGTTTAGATGTTTAGACTGTTCTTCGAGTGCTTCGCTGTCGTCGCTGTCGTTGTGTTGAACGCGCTGCTGGTCCCGCCCCCAGATTACCCACGCTGCTCCTGTCCGAGTGTGTGCTGGTCTACATGACGCCCTCCCAGTCCTCCAATGTCGTCCGCTGGGCCGCCGAGACCTTCCACACCGCCATGTTCATCAACTACGAGCAGGTAACGGGGAAGCGCTTCTCCATCCTGGTACAGCAGAGCGATGCAGGGACAGCTCATGCGCGTGTCTATTCAAAGGTACTTGGGTGTAACTTGAAGAACGTGGCCTGACTACATCTCCTCTGTGTTTGTCCAGGTGAACATGGGCGACCGCTTCGGCCAGGTGATGGTGGAGAACCTTCAGCGTCGCCAGTGCAGCTTGGCAGGAGTGGAGGCCTGTCAGTCTCTGGACTCTCAGGTGCGCTTTGCACAAAGCGAGAACGATGATGTGTTCGGGGGCGTCGTGAGGCGACCAGCCTGTCGAGTCCACCGTGTGCGCATGTTCTGAGGATCAGCGGTGTGCTTTTGCAGAAGGAGCGGTTTCTGAGGACGGGCTGGCAGCACGCGGACGCCCTGGACATGATCACGGTCTACAGTATGCTGCCCCGCGCTGACATGGAACGGTAACACAGCAGCAAGCATGTGATCAAGAGCATTCGGAGGTTTTTCTCAGCTTTGGCTTTTAGCTTTTGGTTTTTAACAGAAGCTGCGTTATTAACTAGTGGAAGAAGTGGAGGTTTCATCGTCTGCTCTGAGCTCTAACGTGGGAGGGAGCACCCCAGAGTTCTATTTGAGGACCTCTTATTATTCAGTTTGTACATTAATTATTTGCAATGGGTGTGATATTCAAATGTAAGCTGGTGCTCATTTATGTGCACGCAAAGAACCAAGCAGAAGCTGCACTGAAGCTCAACTCCACAGCGTCTTTAGACTAAAGAGACTAGATGCTGCTGGTGAGAGGCTACAGGTTTTAATGCAATTTAGTGGATGCTTGATATCTAAGTAACTTTCATGCAAGCTGCTAAACAGTATTTTAATTATTATCCCCCATCTGACCTGTTGCTGAACCAGGGGGGGGGCAGATGGAAATAAAATAAGCCTCTCTGGCTCATCCAGAGTTTGGATACTGATATTGGTCTACATTGTTTTTGTAAGATGAATGAATAAATATTAATCATTTGAATACATATTTCACCAAGAGGTTCCTCAGCCTCTGCTGAAATGTCTCGTTCCTGAAGCGATGATCGACCACTGCTTTCATTTCCTATAGAATTGAGAGTCTGGAGTTCCTGGATGAGAGGGAGCTGCTGCAACAACTGCTGCAGCACTACAGCATCTGCTGGGCCACCAAGGACAAGCTCAACCTGGGTAACGCTCACGTTCTCACGGGGCTCTGTGTGGATGATGATCGTATCTCCACCCGTCGTCTGGCGTTGCCGTTTAAAGGAGCAGGTGGCGCTCTGTCTCCTCAGGTCTGTCACAGTTGGCCTTTTGAGGGTGAAACTCCAGCGGCGGACGTGCTGCACACTCGCCCATGCCAAAGTCTGGTGAAGATGGGGCGACTGGAGA